TTAAAGCTGAGTTCAGGCTAACAAATCTTAACTGTTAAAAAAAAAAAAAGGCCTACAGTGAGAATAGACAGCAGGCCAGGAAGAGGCACCTGATTTGATCACAGGATGAGTGTCAATCACATTTTATTTTGATTTGTTCAATCTTATTTATATATTAAGAAGTAAATGGATTAGGACAGATGTAGCCATTAAGTGTTCAAGAAGCCACTCTTTTCCAGTTTGAAAATTTTTCCTCTGGGGTTGAGCCTTTCGCTATTTAAACTCTGCCAAATGTGTATCTATTTAAAAAAAAAAAAGATGATAGTGCTTATCTCAGTGATATCTGAACTGAAATCTGCATTTTTCTCTTTGTAGAACTCAAATAAAAATGGTTAGTATTATCTCTTAGCATAAAATTTTTTGAAGTAAAATTAGCCTTTGAGTACACTTCAATAGACCAGACACCTACACTTCAAATTGTTGTAATTAAGATGCAATCATTGGGGCTGGTGAGCCGTGGGGGGCTTTTTAACCACATTCTCTCGGGCGTACTTTACGTGTTGGGGGCAGCGTGGTGCGTGTCGAGATTTCAGTGCACACACACTGCCATCCCTTCCATCCCACCCCATTCTTCTCTGTGAAATGCAAAAACCATAAATGTACCATTAAATTTATAGATTTCAGATAGCTACACTAAATAGCATGAAATGGAGAAAATGCTTGACTCTTGAGGACCTTTGCTCTTTCTCATAGTGTACAGCCAGGTTCGTGTTTTTCATAACTCTGTAGTCTGGTCTAATATTTCCAAAGGGTAAAAATGTACTTTTTGAAGTATTCACCTACCTGATATAAATAAAACCTTTCATGCAGAAAAATGTTTCCTCAAATGGAAGAATCAAGGCACCTCAAATTGTGAGAAGTTTTCTTCTAATTGTGCAGTATTGTGCAATGCTTAGTAAAGGTTCCATCTTATCTTTTTCATTTTACAATTTGGGGAGACATATTGGTGAAGTCTAACATATTGCTTTGTAAGTCAATGCTAGACACCAGCACATTCCCATGGCTTTAATGACAACTCACATAGCTTTTTAACAGATCTGTTTGGGAAAGTTTGTCTTGGTTTTTGGCCTTCAGGTAGTGAATGTGGTTTCTCCCTGTAAACATGTTTATATGTACAAATCTCGCATCTTGTCTGAATAAGCAAAAGGATTCTTGCTGCACTTGTCTCCCAACTTAGTACCAGGAAGTGCACCCCGACAGCTGTCAGCGTGAACTTTTCCCCAAGGCAACATACGGCCATGAAGTCCCAGAGCTAATCTAGGACCACTGTAAACTCCAGCGGCTCCCTAGTGCCTGCACATCAGGGCAACCCTTACCTGCCTTCTCAGCCTCGTCCCCCCACCCCACCCCACCCCAGTGCACTCTTCTTGTATTGCCTGACCTGCCTTTGCACAAGCTGTTCTCTCTCCCAAAAAACGCCCCCCTCCTTTCAGTCTCTGTCACGTTCCTGTTCAGATATGCCTATTCTTTGGGTTCCCTCCACACTTCCGGAAGAGTTCATTTTAGTCTCCCCTCTCTTTCCCTAACAGATATGGCTATGACAAGGCCATTGAACACCTCTGAGAGGCAATGTCCAGGAGTGGCTAAAAGTGAGGAGTTGGGAGATAGATTTGAGCCCTGAATCCATCACTTACTAACTGTGTGACCTTAGGCAAGTCACCTTAACCTCCATGAGCCTCAGTTCTCTTACCGATAAACAGCAATGGTACCCATATTCCTGTCTTGCTATGAAGAATAAATGTTCCTAGCACAGTGCCGGCCATCATGTGATGAGTTGCTAAGATCCTAGCATTACTATGAATGAAGGAAGAGCCCAAATATGGCAGGTACGCATATTGTGCTCTTGTAATTTGAGGAGTTAAGACTTGGAGTAGGATCTGACCATGCAGCCACCTAGAAACCATGTGGTGACTTCCTTTGAGGAAGCATGTGAGAAACTGTCCAACAGTGGCAGACAAATAATAAGCTCACAAACATACTCTTAAAAGATCTGACAAGGGCTGCTTTTAAGATTGCTTGTCTTTGGTTGTGACACATGACACATAAAAAGAAATCTGATGTTGCACAAAGCCAAGAGTGGAAGGCATCAGGGAGATGTGCCTTCATTTCTTTGTGAAGAGATCCATCTGGTGGAGTGGAGACTCCCGGTGCTGTTAATACTTGTTACAAAATGGGGACATGTGGGGAGTGGAGAGCCGTCCAGTGAGAGCTTAAATGAACAAACTTCAAATTGAGAGTCCACCTTGTTTAAAATGTTTTTCCATTATTTTTCATTTGAGATGTAAAATAAGGAAAAGGGGGAAAAATTGTTAATGCAATCCATTTCTTTCCAGAAAGAAAATTTAAAAAAAACCAAATCACAGCAATGCCACAAGAACACCTTGTCTAAAACAAATGAGAGATTTCATGAATTGCAAAATGCCACCTGGAAGGCCCCCTTGGCTGAGAAATGCATTCAGATTTTAGTTCTTTGAATGAATATAACTATCCCCATGCACACTGATCTCAGACCAGAAAACTCTGGATGCTTTTCCTCACCCAGTTGAAGAGAAAATTCCATTTAATATCGCTTTTTAAAAAATATTAAAATCCAACTGAGGACAGCAAATTAATAAAAGAATCACATATCACCTGTAATATATGTTTCTAAAGAATTTAAAAAGAACTGTCTTTGCATTTACAGAAGAGAAATTTAGAAAAACACTTTTACCGTGTTCAGCTGTGCTGGGTTTTAAAAATTCCTAGGTTGGCTTTTCATCTCGCAGGAAAGTAAGGTAGCAATCATTCTTAAGCAATTGGCAGCGATGTGCTTAAGTGCTTAGTCCTTTTCTACTGGAAGAAAGAGACTGGACCAGGGTGGGGGAAGAGGAGCCAGGAGCGATTAGGAGGAAAGGAGGCTGCTCAGAACCTGCCATTCAGAGCAGATGGCAGCTCTTTATAGTCTGTGTAAAACAGGAGTGTGGTGGCAGTGACTTATAGGTGTGCCAAAGAAAATGAGCCCATGTGCTAAATTCTGGCACGTGCACGCTAGGCTGCCAAGGCATGGCATAGCCCCAGGCCTACTTTTGATGTCCTGCCCCAGAAAGCAAACCTGTTCCCATTTACTCTATGAGCATGGTGAGTGGTTGGATGTTTTGATGTTATAAAAACTCCTGGTACAGAAATTTGCCATTTGGCTTACTTTCGTTCCGTCATTTTTCAGATTAGAAACACCTGCAGGGAGAGGACCAGCAGTTTCACACTCACACCTATTAGGCCAGGCAAACAGTTGCAGAGTAGCTGCCCATTCCAGGGTAAGCAGGCGATGCTAGCTGATCAAATTTAGGTTCTAGGTTAATGAATGAAATACATAAAATAGGACACCTCTTTTTTTTCCATATGAAAGAGTTCCTTCGGAGGTCTGGATGAGAAAACATAATATACTGTATGCTTTTTAAAACCCTTCTATTTTATTCTCTGTGCTAAACTGTAAACAATTTCTGGGATTAAAATATCTTAAAAAGTGAGCCATGATTTCAGATTAAACTTCTTAAATTCACAATGAACTTAGTAAAAAATTTCCTCTTTATTTCTTTTTTTTACTGCTTCCACTATCCAAACCCTCAGTATAAGACCCCCGATCTTATACAATTTATCCAAAGGTCTGAGCAGGTCAAGAGCTCTTTGCCCTTCACTAGTGAATTCAGTGCTATTGTAAGAGATGGACATTCTTTCCTTCCCTTTTCACTTAAAGAAAAGAAACATACCAAGCCTGAATAGACTCATGGCCAGACTGGAGTAGGGAGTGATTTTATTAGTTCTAACATAGCTATTGACACAGCCCCGAAGACAATGAGAGAGAGAGAAAGAGAGAGAGAGAGAAAGGAAGAAAGAAAAGGCTTTCATTTTATGTCTTGGAAGGCAGATTGGTTATAATTTAATTTCTAAGAAGAAAATTTATAGAATAAAACAGCCTGACATTTCTTTTTCTTCATCACACATATGAGAAATATAAACTAAAAGGACATCTGGAAACTAACATTATTCAGCAATCAGAAAGAAAAAATTCAAACCATTGAAGTTTTGATGGAGACAAGCATAACGAGATTTACAAAGAGGAAAGCTGTAACCTATTGAAGTTGAAAAAAATCCACATGCATTTTACCTTTTGGGCAGTTCCATAGCAAAGTTCTATTTCAGAAGCTCTTTGTAATATGAGACCCACTGTAGATAAGATACAACAGGAAGATAGTCTATTTTGCAGCAGCAGGAAATCAAATTGGTTCCAGAAATGAAGTTACAAGACAAATGGTTTAACAGTATTGCCAGATTTGGGAAGCTTGAGTGGATCATTTTTATAATTATTCAAAAAGATTTTTAAATAACTTTGTCATAGAAGTTTAGATTTTTTTGAAGGGGAAGGGTATTGCAGAGGTGGGAAGATATTTAATTTTATAGGTCTTTTAACTAATGTGTTATAATTTGTCACCAAAATTTAAGAGCTCAGCGATGATTTATTAACTTTTGACACGCAAAAAAATTTCAGACAAACACAACACTTGATTTAACATAACTAATATATGTTATAAAAGATTAAACAGGTTAGTAAATATATATTTTATTATCATATGTAAGTTATTTTTAATTTTCATTTTAGTAGCAGTCAGTCTTGTGTCATTTTTAAAAAGCATGTTGAAAAGTCTATTCAGTCTTAGGCCAGTCTTAGATCTTAGGAAAGATTTCTGAACACTTAGCAAGATGAATCATTGACAAAATAACCCAGCAACTAATACCTGTAGGTAAAATGAAATGAAATCATTCTCTTGACTGAAGTCAGGAACAAGTTAAATATCACTTAGAACACAGCACACGACTACAGAGATTTAGAAGAAATCGTACTTAAATAGGATGTGACTAGATGTTTAGGACTATTTTCTAAAAAAGTTTTTTAAAAACCAACCTTTTTCCCCTTCAGTACTTACAATCTTTGAAGACTAGAGCCGGGTCTCTGTGAGGCAAGACTTGGGCAATGATGTGTCTCAAGGATTCCAAGGTTCTGTCCATCTCGGGTCTGCCTGTGTGAGCCTGCTGCACAGGGTCCTCATGCCTGAATTCCTGCAGTCCTGGACTGAATTTGTGCAGCTCATTGATGCACAGGATTACCAAAGAATCCCTTTTAACATCTGCCAATCAGACATTTCCCAGCATCTAAAGACCCCCTCAGGGGGCCCTCCTCCCAGGCTCACTTATCTTTGTTGTGTGCTGGGCTAATTAGCTCTAAAGGCTGGCTGACAGGCAGGTTTCCATTGCTTCCTTCTGTTAAACACACCCACCTACAGGCTAGCTGGGGAAGCTCCCTAATCGTGGGAACAGCTTTCTTCTCCAACCAGATTTTGCCTGAATGGCATGCAGCTTTCTGACTCGGATATTGCTTTTGGTTTACTCTTTTCAAATGTGCTTTTCCCAGGTATATAGAATTGAGGAGGTTATTTCTCAAAGAAATTTTCTCAGTAACGAAGGAGTTTCCAGCTCAAGACTTGAAGTTTGGAATCAGTATAATCTAAATTCTTCTTTGGTAAAGAAATGTTATAGAGATTGTGCAAGTAGCCAAGCACCAGATTTTGCCTCTATTTGAATTCAGGAGCATCTCCTTGGAAGCCAAGTTTTTTATTTCACCCCCTTACCCAATTATATTCACTTCTCATGAGCAGTGGCAAGTAAAACCTCATGGACTGACTTTCGGCTTTGCCTGGGAACATTTGTTTCCCAATTTATCCTTCAAGGCAAATCATTCCCAAGATAGACCTTAATGAATTCTGATATCATTCACTTCCTTTCATTTCATGATAATTATTTCTTTTAAAAACTGCAGGAGAAGCAAAAGAGTATTTTTCAAAAGCATATGGGTAGTTATTTAAAAAGCTTAAGAAAACAGAATTTTTTCCTATACTTACTACCCATGACATTAATTTTTCTATGGGAGACAGAAATATAAGTCATGGGTACCACTGCAGTAACAAGAATTTGTACCAGATATAAAAGGACTAATTTTAATGGTTGTAACATAGTTAGCTGTTGAAGACTTACTAAGGACTTCTGTACTTTTATTTAGAATATTTTACCACAGTAGGCATAAGAGGTTGCTTTCCAATGTTCTTTCCAACTTCAGATTCTGTAATTATGTTGTATTATATGATTAACTGGAACAAGTCCTTTGAAGAGTATATCAAAATAAAATGTTTTCCATGTGATCAGCTCCTTCAGCTAGTTGGTAGAAGGATGGTGGACTTAATAAAAGGAAACAGAACGAATGGGGCTGTAATAATAATTCCTATTAAAATGACTATCATTTAGCAGATGCCCACAGCCAGTATATGCCACACATAAGAGACATGAGGCTGCCGGAGAGTGCAAATATGTTATTATAAAAAAGAACTTGAAAGAAGTAGCACCTCACATTAAGAAATTTATTTAGAGTCCTGCAGGGTATTTTACATGGGCTGCACAAACTAGGAAATTGTTCATATCCTTGCCATCCAGTTGATCATTTAAAAGAGATATTGGGTGGTTTGTAGACAAAATAAACTGTTATACATTGATTGAACACAAAGCATGAATGGATATAAGTACTTTAAGAGTGATATTGAATCAGAAACCAAGATATTTATGGTCCCCTTCAAGAGAACACAAAAAATATGGAATTTTCAAAGGACTAGACTGATAATATAAAAATAAACATTGGAAATGATTGATGCTGGGATTTCAATCAATAAATTAATTTTTACGGGCTTAAAATTAATTCCTGTAGTCAATATGAATATTTTGGTCGTGTAGTATGGTGGATAGAATGCTGAATTTGGGATTAGTAAGATCTAGGATTTTATTTTTGTTATCTGTATAACTTGAAAAAAATCACTCATTTTCTCTGGGCTCAGCGTTCATATCTAGAAAATTAGGGGGTTGAGCTGGATGTTCTCTCCCTCAGATCTAACATCTATGACTCCATGGCTATACTGCAAATGGACAAAATATTATCAAACATTTTCTAGCTTTCTGGAAAGTCATGCATTTATTTCCTAAAGTCTGCACTAGTCTTCAAACACTTCTATTCCCAGAGTCAACCTCTATCCATGCATCAATATGAGAGCTATAAATGAACAGGGTGAATTCAAAGATACTGCTAATGCAGCCAGAACAAAAGGAAGGATTTTGTTAAGTAAAGTAGTTTTCAACTTCCACAAGGTTTTTCTGAAGAAAGACAATTAAAGAAACCAAAATCAACTTTGCAAAACATAATTTCATAAAAATATCATTTTCTTTAATGTTATATTTTAAGAAATGAAAAATAATTTTAGAAAGATAGATTATACAACACTATAATTTTTTTCTCATTAGGCCCTTCCATTCAGCAAAAGTTTTATGAAACCATTTTTTTTACTTGTCTGCCCACAAAGATGTCTCACCTTAAAATGCTATTGTGAGACAGGCTAGAAAAAGTCGGCGATTTCTCTCCCTTCTCTTTGATGCAGAAAGCACCTGATAAAGATGGAAGAACCTGAGAAATTCCTGTGCGGTGTGTCTATTTTAGTATAAATTCTACATATAGTTCATGTCAGATTTTATCATCAACCTTATCGGTCTGTAGGAATGCCGAAAGCAAAATTCGAAGTACTGACACAAGGTGCATGATTACAGTGAAACCAAAGTGGTGCTTACACAAATGCTGGTAGAGTACTACTCAGAAGTGAGAGACGTGGTATTCGACTGGCATATTCAGTGGTCAAGATATCGTCCAATGGTAGAAGAGGAAGGCTCAGTGTAACAACAACACACTTACCGAGAGCGTGCAGGGAATACAGAGCTCTCTGAGAAGATGAGAAATCAAAGTGGTATATGAGACCTGTCCAGGAGGTATCCGGCCTGGTACCATGGAAACTAGAGGCTTTCATTGAAGAAGATACAAGATACGAGAAACATTGTACATAGAACAATGACTGACGCCTCAGTGCCCTTTAAAGTAGGCACCTCAGGCCTCACACAGTTCTCTCAATCTCCATCAGCTGCCCTGTCATATTTTCCTGAATCTCACTGACTGTCTAAAATCAGTTCTCTTTCAAAGGAGATTTTAGTTTTGGGAAAAGTCAGAAGTTGCAGGGCATCAAATCTGGGCTGTAGTGGGGCTTAGTCATCTGGGTGATTTGATGTTTCACCAAAAAAATATACACAGGATGTGATACATGAGTGGGTGCACCATGGTGATGAAGCTTCCAATCACCTGTTGCCCATAGCTGCAGCCGTCTGAATCATCTGAATAGTTTCCATGAAGGAATGTTCAAGCTTAATGCAAAATTTGATGCAGATTCATTGCTCTTCTAGCTCAGCCATTTTTAATGTGATGGCCGTACAAGTACATGTGCTCACTCAACAGTGTCTACCACCCCATGGACTAGTGCCATGAAATCATCCTTGTTCACACACGCATGTTCCAGTCCACTCTTCTTGGCTGCCCATTTATTTACATTGATGTCATAAAAAATATTCTTGTTATGTTAATGATGACTGGACTTCTTCTGGACAGACGTATTTTGCACCATTTCATGCACAAAGTGACAAAAAGTGTATGGAAACAATTTTTCTGGTAAAGAAAATTTATTCTTATCATTCCAATAATATTTATATTGTTAACTAGTTTATTACAGGTCCAAAAATGACAGGGACCACTAATTGAAATAACATCCAGAATGTTAGAAAACATAGTAAGTGCACCAAAGAATCATCTTTAGTGAAAAACAGGAAGGAAACCCACTCTCTTCCTTGCTTCCCCGCCTGATACTCTGCCCTGCCCCGGAAGGAGAGACTGGGTTCAGTGAAGCAGGAGGGTGGGCCTGTAGGTGAGGCTGCAGTGAGGTTTGTGACCCCAAGTCCTGAACAACTTCAGCACAAGGATTGCAGACTCCAAAGAACAGCCCTGCAGTAACTGAGTCTGAGCCAATTTGTGACTACTCGTCTCTAAGGTATCAGGTGACTGAGGGAAAAAGCAGCTGGCTGGTGGAAATTTAGGAAGATTATCTTCCCTGAAGTAATTTCTTCACTTATCGCTAATGCCTTGATTCTTACGATTTAAGATAAAGTAAATAAAATGAAAAAGAATTGGATTCATGCAGTTAAGTAAATTAATAGGGAGAGCAAGTAGTTTACAAAAGCAATGGAAAAGGACTGAGAGCAACTGCTTCCAGATTCCAATGGGAGATGGGTAGAGGGAACTAGAAGGGCCTAAAAGGCTGAACTGCCAAAGAGGGTTCAGTGTGGAGTGTGAGAGTGACTTTGCAGAGGTAATGACCAATGACTGTTCAGTGTCACCTAGGAAAAGACAGTAGGAGGAGTGAATGGCTGGTTAGCATCAACTTTGTTTATTCTAGGCTGGTAAAGGATCAATGCGGTGTTTGAATCAAGGTATTTTCTCTTAGAGCGTTAGTTAGAAAGGCAATTTCAGACTAGTAGACAAAACAAATTAGAAAACACAGGCAACATAAAAGAATTTAATCTCAGATATTTGTTCATTGATATTTCACTACATTTAGAAAATCATCGATAAGTACTAATGTTTTAAACTACATGAAAATTGGAATCAATTGGATTCCAATTGATTGGAAAATTGGATTCCAATCAATTGGAAAGTTCATTACTATCCCATCTACAGGTTAAAGAATGTATAGTTTCTCATTCTTATAGAAAATTATGTAAAATGCTTTTATGAAATAATTTTCCTCCCCAGAAGATAAAACCAGGAGTGAACTGGCCTTTTCCCTTGCCAAGGCAGTCAGATCAACACCCTTTATCAGAAAGCCTGATGCAAGTGAGTCCCTCCTTCACCCGAGCTGTCTGTACGTAGGGAAGGGGATCTGGAACGAGCACACATCATCTTGATTGTGTTATGGTCACAGTTACCCAGGCCTGTCATGGTGTTCACTCTCCAGAGAGAAGTAAAATTGACTATTTAAGAACTACTTTATAGACCAAAAATATCCTTGGAGGAGGCTTAGCCAATTAACAGGTGAATACTTTCAGAACAAACTCAA